ACAATTTTTCTAACTCTAAACTTTGTTAATATAAAAATGATCTTGGAACGTGGCGTAACAATTTTAGTGGTGCCTCAGAGTCACCACTCGAGTGGAAAGGGTTAATTTATTCGAGATACCAATATCTCGAATGGGAACTGACGTATTTAATTAGCAATGCATAAATTATACATTTCCGTCGAACTTGATTAAAGACGATTTGAAATGCTTGTCCAAGTGCACAGTCAACAGTTCGGAGCTGTTAAGATTTCCTCCTCTAATCGGGTCTGAACTTTGATTCGATTAAAGCTCGTCAAATTTAAATGTAACCATAATCCGAGCATTGCACGCGGTCCGCAACATCCTGCAGATTGCGGATTTGATGGGCTCATATAGCTTATCGAGCGGCGTTTAACGGGGGATAGCGGCCTTCTTATACAGTGCTTAATCAAATACGATCTTTAATAGGTAGAAGACCTTTCTATTTACTTTCCGTTTCCTCCTAATTAGCCCGTGAGAACGTGATCCTGCATAAGCGATCGCAGTCTGAATAATAAGATAAAGAACTAGTTTCCTAGTTTTCGTCGAATCCACAGAGAAGAATTCTAATTATTCGACCAGCCAATTTAAGTATTCTATTTCTCGAGCTGCGGGGTAGATAAAAGCCACTAAAAGATTCACCAATAATTTAATTTCCTCTCTGAATCTCTCTTACTGTTGGTCAAATGCACATCTCGCTCAACTTTATTTACTGCTTCCCTCGGCTATCGAGTTACCCAATGAAATATTATTCTCTTGCTTTTAACCAACTGTATCGAGATTTCTCTAACTGCTACGTTAATTGACAACTTCGTCGTCCATAACACGAGGTTCACGAAACGCGTAAGAATCACGTGTAGCAAATTCTTTACATTCACGATTATTGAAATTGTAAACACACGTTTGTGTGCAATCTATTCGATAAATTTGTTTCGTTGGATATATATTTTGACGAAGCAACGAAAGACAGCCGTTATTAGCATTCCGTAAACATAGCGTTAACAATTTTGCTAATATTAAGTTGCTGCGTATGAAATGTCGGATTTTTAAGTGAATCTATAAAACTGCATATCTTTTTTCAGAAACCGTTTATTTAATCAAAATACGCTCCATTTGCTTCAATACACTTTCCCCAACGAGATTTTAATGCATAGATACCTGTTTTAAAGAAATTATGATCTTTAGAATCGATAAACTCTGATATGGAATTTTTCAGACTGCCTTCATTTTCATACTGTTTAGCTCGTAAAAACTGTTAAAATGTTTAAAAATATGAAAATCGGTTGGTGAAAGATCCGGCTAGTAAGCTGGGTGCTGCAAAATTTCATATTTTAATTCATTTAATTTCGCAATTGTTTTGTACGACGTATGCGGCCGAGCATTGTCATGGAGAAGTATTGGGCCATGTTGATTAACAAGTGATAGGCGTATAATTTTTAATTTCTCATGCATTTCATCAATGTACTGGCAGTACTTTTCGGCTGTAATTGTCTCTCCAGTTCAAAGGAACGAGTAGTGAATTACTCCAGTTACATTCGTTTCCACCAATGCTTTCAGAACATCATTTTTCACAGATTTCACACGTTCTTTCACACGTTTTGGGTCTTTCACGCGGCTCATTTTGTAAAGAAAAATCGCCAGACCGAAAATTTTCAAACCAACGCTGCACTTTTCGATCGTTAACAGTATTCTCCCCAAACGCCTGGTTTATATTGCGCGCAGCTTTTGCAGCATTATTACCAAGTTTATACTCATAGAAAAGAATTACTCGAATATCGGTTGAATTCGTATCCTTATGAAATTCAAAACAAATAACAAAGTGGAACACTTTTGAGAAAATCTTCTTCGTTGAAGTGTGATTCTCGCAATGGTTTACAGTCGTAACTATAAACAATGTTATGCCAAAAACAAAAGTATAACGAAAATCCGACATTTCGTATGCACCGACCTAATAGAACGAGACGATTTTGGTTCCTTGCATCTGTCTTCGTTCACTTTCGCTCCCATATTTTGAAAACACACGAATCAATTTTTCTTTCGATTTCGAATGAAAGGACAACCGGTTGTCATAGTGAGAGGAGTCGGTGTAACCTTCGATCGCAAAAATATCCTCGACCAACGAAAACTAATCCTCGAGCATTTTTCGATTCCGAAACCGGCTCGATTCCGCTCGTGTCGCGCGGTATATTCCGCGCGGAGATTCTTGCGAGCTCGTTGCGCCGCTTAATCCGCCGCGATCATTCGCCCAGCCGACCCCTAATTACTCGGGATCGAGCCACGGCAGGGAAACCCGCCCGTACGGGGCGGTTTTCCGTGGGAAAAAATCGAACGTGGAAGTCGTTCGCCGCGGATTAAACGAAGATTAAGCAAACTGGCCGGCCATCGAGCCGCGGAAGCACCGGTTTCCGGGAACGTCCGCCATATTCGATATCGTCGGCGAACCGGAAGCGGAGGAACGTAGCAACCGGTTTCGAGTATCGAGCGGCGACGAGACGCGCGCGGCCGTAGGTACGTAAAGCATGCACGAAATGGGAATTCGATATGTTAATTTCGGCTCCGGTTCCGCGGAGCGAGCACGCCGTGTTCGCCTAAGCGGGAATGTTAAAAGGTTACCGACGCCATCTTTGAATATGTTGCTTCGATTTCTCGGCCCGGAGAACGGTTCGCCGCTTGAGAAACGACCGACCGACCGACTCGGCGGCGAGGGGGGACCACTCAACGTTCGAATTCCACGGAGGAAGGGGGGCTTTAATGTTGCAGAAGCGAATTTCGAGGGTCGCCTAATCTCCTAACGATTCCTCATTATCCCCAAAGTCTTTCAGAATTTTTGAATAATTTACGAACTTTTACTTTCGTCTCGATCCACAATGAGAGTGACTATTTTCGAAGGAGCCGATGAATAATTGTAGTTCCGAGTCATGCTCGCGAGTCTAAGATTACCGCATGTGGTACTTAACAGCAGTGAAAATAGAAAAACTCTCGATCGAGTTTTAAGCCATCAACGACGCGTTAAGCTAACAGCGCGGCGTCTGAGTCCAATTTAACCCAGCTTTTTAAAGGTTTCTTGCTTCTTAGACTCCGGCGTCTGATTTAACGCATTACGAACACGATGTGCAGCATCTTGTTGCTTGTGATACTATTGGGTTGGCAGGAAAGTAATTTAGGTATTTCAATGTGAAATAAAACTCAATTTTTCCTGTACAAAAAATGAACTTCAATCAGTCAAATATTTTCCATTCTGTTCGATGTCCATCTTTCTGATAACTTCATGATTCCGCGCTCATAAAACTTCTGGTGTTTATCAGTAAATAAACTCAATCAAGCGCGATTCGAGGTTATCGTTATTATTGAAATTTTTACCATTTAAAAAGTTTTGTGAACTTCGAAATAAATGATAATCCGTTGGTGCAAGGTCGGCGCTATATGGAGGATGCGACATCACCGCACAACCAAGCTCCAATAATTTTGTACGTGTTGCTAAAGATGTGCGAGGCCTCGCATTGTCGTGGCGAAACACGATTCCTTTGCGATTTGCCAATTCTGGCCTTTTCACTTCGATCGCTTCCTCCAACTTCATCAGTTGTTGACAGTAAATATCCGAGTTGATCGTTTGGTTGCTTGGAAGCAGCACAAAATACACAACACCTTTATAGTCCCACGAAATTAGCAGCATGATCTTCTTCTGCTGCAATTCAGCTTTCGATCAGGTTTGTGCTGGTTCATCACGCTTGGACCACGACCTTTTTCGATTAATGTTATTGCAAACGATCCATTTTTCATCACCGGTGATAATTCGTTTCAAAAAAGGATCGATTGCATTACGTTTAAAATGCGTATCGCAAACACTGATTCGTTGTGTTAAGTGAATTTCTTTCAGTTCATGCGGAATCCAAACATCGAGCTTCTTAACAAGTCCAAGGCATCTTATGTGATATTCATTTGTTGTGTGCGATGCATTTAACCTTTTTGCAATCTCTCGTACAGTTACATGACGATTCGATTCAATTATGGCTTTGATTTTGTCATCATCAACTTCAGAAGATCGACCAAAACGTTGATCATCTTTATGTGAAAAATCTTCAAAACGAAATTTTTTGAACCAATTCTGACGCGTGCGTTCTGTTAAACAATCGACGCCATAAACTTCGCATATCTCTTTGCGAGCCTCCGCCGCTTTCTTGCCTTTATGAAAATAAAAAAGTAAAATGTGTCGAAAATGTTCGTTGTTGCACTCCGTGTTAAAATAGCAAACTTTCAGTTTTAAACAAAACTACACGGAATTTGTTTCTATAGTAACCTAATCGTGTCAACTACCAAATCTGAAGACAAAACAACTATAACCTTAACGAAAGAATGACAATGCAAACATAACGCTATGTATCGCCGCAAACCGAAATTACTTTCTTGCCAACCCAATAAATTTTATTCCGTAAGTAATCGATATACAATTGAGAAATAATCCACGTTACGGCCGCTGGGACAATCGTAGGACGATCGTACGATTTTTTGCCGCAGGGGACACGTTCAAACGTCGACAATATTCGCTGAAAATTTGACGGCACACGCGTTTTCCGCGGCGGTACGGACGCGGGAATCGCTGGAATAGCAAGAGTTTAAATGGCCCAGGATAGGATCGCCGATAAAGTTGTCAAAGGGAACCGGTCGGCGAGGGTTAAAAAGGCGCGCGAGCAGCAGAACGGCGGCAAACTGCGAGCGTTTCACGAGCGTTCCGCGTGCATTCTGCGGAATATCGGGGTCAGGATGAAAGGGGAAAGCGGAAAGGCTGAATGGTCGCGAGAAAACGGCTCGCGAAAGGGACGCGCGGCCGGAAATGGGAACGGTGTCTTCAATTCGCGAACGGGAGGCTGACAAAGGTGAGAGAGAACGCAGCGGTCGGCCAACGTATCGCCGCCGCCGGTAATTAAAAGCTGCGGTTAACCGGGCCGAAGAAAAAAACGAGCCCGCCTGTCCCCGATAATTACCATTCTCCTCGAGGGGGGCGAATTTGTCGCGGCAGAGCAGCACCAGCGGCAGCCAGCAGCGAGCGTAAAACGCGCCGGCGGAGATCAACAGGACCAGCAGCAGCACGCCCAACAGGAACGACTTCCTCCAGGAGCCATTTTGGAGACCCAGGGCGAATTGCGGCTCTGCAACAAAAGGTTTCGTTCTTTACCGGCTCTGCAAACTTTCGTGCAAAACGCCGCGCGGTAAGCTACAACGTGTTTTCGACGTCGAAGCGTTTTTGGCTCCCTCGGTCTTCCCTAGAGAAACTCGGCCCTTTTTATGTCTCGAATAATCTGCAACACTTTCGGCTGCCGCGCCAACCGTGCGCGGACGAGAACGTGCGCACGTTGACACAGTAAACGACGTCGCACAACTTCGCTTTACAACTTTGATTTTATGCGATGCTTTAGATGGTTTGCGTGGCAGACGAAGTGTTGGATAGCACGAGACGTTGTCGTTACAGGTTTTGTGGAACGAAATCGAGGATCTAGCGGCATCATAAGTGTACCTTCGGAAGGGACATTTAAATGAAATAATAAATAAAACATTTAACACCGAACCTACCGAGCACTAAAAGCGACGAATTTCTGTTGCTCTGTAAGAACGATAAAACCGAATCTATTATTATAATTTCAGCAATTTGAAAATACAAAATGTAAAACCGGTCGTTCTGACCGACTTGATAGGTTTAGCGTTCAATAATAAATTAATTCCGTGACATTTTTCTGACTGATGACTGAACTCCGAGAAATTCCGTTCGCGGGAAACAAGGTTACGAAAGAATGACTGTTTCTCAGATAAGTGTTGCAGCAAAAATACCGCAATCTAATTTCTCCGAAACGGAAGAAAATGGTCAACCGGTCACGACCTTTTAATCACTTTGAAGTACGAAACGGAAGCACGAGGAACGTCGCGAATTTCTGGTTTCGGGAGAACGCGAGAGCGCGCGCGGTCCAGCATGAAAATGACACGCAGTCATGTTTCCACGATAACGAAGCCGCGGCTGCTTAACCGCCGGACAGATTAAAAGGCTTGGTTACTTACCTTGTCTATAAACGTGAGCGGGTAACGTGATCTCCTCGTCCACGCCGTTGCTAACTTCGCACTTGTACTCCCCGTAATCCTCCAGAGTTATGTCCTCGATCTCCAAATAAGAGCCGATGATCTGATTGTTTTCCCTGAAACGGAGTCGTTAATCTTTGAGTCGGCGTGCTTGTGGCTTGAGGAACGCCGCGGGTCGGTAAGGGAGGCCAGGTGAAATAAAAATCGACGCTGCCCTCACGTAATCGTTTCTTATTCGCGAGCCCCGGTCGCGGAAAGCAAGGTCTCCTTGGCGAGAGAGATCCGTCGGTCGCGACGCGACGACGGCCCTGGGCTTCGTTGGAATGACAACCCAACCCTGTTTCTGTCACCGGCAAAAAGATCCTCCTCCCGGTAGAAATATTATCGTTATTACACAATAAAGTGTCGACAGCCGGCTGCACAATAGCTATCTTCGCAGGATGATGAAATGATTCGGGACTTCGCGAGACCGGAGCTTTTATTATCTGTACACGACCGAGCTGTAAGAATCGAGTTGGCGGAACTCTGACGCCATTTTGTTCAGTTATGCTGGATTTTCGATTCGAGAATGCAACAATTTCTCTCAGAAATGGTCGGAGGTCGCAACTGAAACCGGCAGATCTGAGAATACTAAGTCGCGATTCTTCGGGCCTCGCGGCTCGTTCTTATAAAAACTCGGAGCAATCGGCAATAAAAGATAGCAGCCAGCATGCTGGTATACATTAATATGAATACATAGTAATGCTAGAATAAAAGCGATGATTTAATTTTTTTTTTTTTATTTCTAATTTTTTTTTGCCACGATTCGAAGGCAATTCTGAGGCCACATGCCACGATTCGAAGGCGTTTCCTTTATTAGAACTTGATATTTTTCGCTTCCAAATGTATTGAATTAATTGTTTATTTCATTCTTTCCACGACAATATCACTTTTATCGAAAAAAACTGGTACAGAAACAAGATTGAAAGATGTAAAAAATTAGACTTAAAAATTAGACTTATTACAGTAATGTCACCCTAATTCGCACTCAGATTGCGCACAAAAAAGGAGATACGATTATTCGAGCCCAGCGGCTCGTTTTTATAGTTATAGTTTGCCAACAACTATAAAAACGAGACGCAAGGCTTGAATAATCGTATCTCCTCTTCCCAAATTGTCCATTTTTCTGCGCAATCTGAGCGCGAATTAGGGAGAAATTATTGTACTTTGTAGCTCCGCGGTTTTCTCCTCTCCTGACTCACGCCCAAAGAGACCATTACACGCTTGACCGACTCTGTCGACCCTTAGCATCGACGTAGCAGTAAAATTACATAGGACTAGCACAGGGAAATTCCCAGCAACCCGAAATTTGGCATTTCGGGGAGAAATTACTGTATTCGAACGAATACGATGTTTCGTACGTTTTGTAATGTACAAACGATTACGGTTCATCTTCTATTCGTTGTTCACCACCTTTTTTATCATAATTGCAATTTATTAACACGTCAAATGCCGAAGATCAATGGGAAAAATTCCCACCCAAAATCTAAGCAGTTTGATGAATGAAACTGAAACGAGCAAGATAAACTGTATCATAGCGAATGGTTAATCGATCTCTGTTTGCTCGAACATATTTGCAGTAAGAGTGAATGTTGACGCAGCACTCGACTCGCTGATCTGTAAATTGTAGCTTCAAGTGTCTTGTACAATGGAAATGAATTGTTGCTCGTGGCTTTTAAATTCAATCACAAATAAAATTGTTTCGCCCGTTTCGCCTCGTCGATCCCGCTGTTCTCTGTACAATTAATTAAATCATTTTAGCAACAATAGGGGATGTTCATTATTGTTTGTCGGATCTGGCAAAAACGATGTTCGCTACTAAATGCAACAACGAGTGCGGTAAATCCTCTTCAATTGTCATTCAACACGTAAATAAAAATGGACAATTTGGGAAGAGGAGACACGAGCATTCGAGCCTCGCGGCTCGCTTTTTATAGCAATTGGCGAGCGTAAAAATCGTGTGTAAAAATTGTGTCTCCTTTTCCGAAACTGTCCATTTTTGTTTGCACGTTGAGTGACAGTTGGAGAGAGTTTACCGTGCTCGAAGCTCCGTTCCAGGTTTCGCCGATTTAGAACAGCCAGCAAGGTAAAAGTGTTTTATCGCCGGAAAGTGTCGAGTTTTTCGCCTGGATCTCGAGGATACACGAATACTTGTGGCTGGTAATGTACCCGGGAGTCGGTAAGGGGGACAGAAGCCCACGGGTTCGACGGGAAGAGGAAAGGCTCGTTGTTCGAGGACCGCAGGCTGTAAATCTGCCAGCCGGACACTCGTACCGCGGTACTTTCGAGGAAATATCGCCGTGCGCCGCGACGTCTCGCGGTCCCGATGAAGTCAGCACGCCGAACGGTATCGCCGTGATTTCTCAATTTTCCGCGGAATCCTTTCCTCTCCATCGGGGAAAATAATCGATCGGCGTGTCACGCATCGGCTGACCTCATTCGTTTCTTTCTGGCGGCGTTCCGTCGATAAACTTCATCGAAATTGTTGCGCAAACAGGCGACGGTCGTCCTTCGAACTTCTCGGAAAGACGACGAGAATCGTTCGGTTCCGATTCGTTCAGTTCGGATCGTTCGCGCGAATAGAATCTACGGGACCGAGAGAGTAACGGCAACGATCGGATTAGAAATACGATTGACGAGGCGAAGAGTGCAGCGCGCCGAGGCCCCAAAAAGTGCGAATCCCGTCAGAAACCGGCTTTTATCTCTGACTCACAGGCTTCGCGGATCCGGCGACCCAATTTCCAGCGATTTCCTAGGCAAGATGAGTCGCCAGGCGGTGATAAGGAGCGATAAGCTCCGTTACGCAGAGGGACCAACGGCTAGGGAACGGATAGAACGGGAAAAGAAACGTGCGGGAGAGGTCTTGATCGGTCCGAGCGATTAGTTTACGAGCCGGGGGACGTATCCGAGTGATACCCGGGCAAAAGTAGCAGACGTCCGTGGACAGCTGATGGCTCTATAAGCTTAATAAGCCGCGACGATCCGAGATCGCGAGACCTCGGCGAAAGAAGAGCCGGGAAACGCGGTGCTCTCGCGAGGATCGACTGATTTATGACCGCGACCGTCTCTCCCTCGGTCGATCGCCGATCCTCGATCCTCGATCGCGAGCCCTCCTTTCGCTCTCAGCGAGGATTCTTTAACGGGGAGATCGCGAAACTTCGCCTTGGATCGTTTCGTCGGGCTCCGGAACGAGGCAGAAGCGGGGCTATGAAACTGAACGCTCCCGAGGATGCTGCGCATGCTGTTCTCGGGTACAGTGTCGGTCAAAACCTCCTGTGATTACCTTCGAGTCTAGCTTTCTCTCGCCGTGATCGCTCCGCGGCGGATTTGCCGCATCCGTTGCACAATTCGATCGAATTTCAGCAATATTTCGGTGCAGCAACATTTCGTTCATGTTCACGATAAGACAAGATTCGGGGTTTTCGTGGCAGTTATTTTTATGCCACTTAGCCGAAATCGAAGCTAGAGAAGACTGCTTCGGGATAGGGTAGCTTCGATGAAAGTAGAATCGCGAGAACGTTTCGAAAAATCGAAATAACGCGACGCTCGGGACACAGAGAAACGACTCGATCTCGTAGGCAGAATTCAAGTCGATCTCAAGTCGCGTTCCTGCGAGAATCTTTTAATAAAACGGGGCTTAAATCAAAGCCAGAAATGTCCGCTTTGATACGGAGTAGCTTAGGTTTCGGAGAAATCGCGAGATCATTCCGTAGAATGAGGAAATCCGGACTGTGTTTTACTTGGAGGAAAATGTTTGAATTTCAAGGGGTGCCCCGACTAGATTCGGAAGATCGGCCACCATCGACGAAACAATTCCCATATAACAATTTCCCAATAACAACGAACGGAACAACAATTTGTTGGCCCGAAAAAAACCGAAAAAAAACTGTGGCACGTCCGCGGCAGAAACGCGCAGGTTCGGCCTCGCTAATCGGAAGTGGCCGGCGGCGCAATCATCGGGGAAAGATCGTAAACCGTTTACGGGTGGCTCGGTTATGCAGCCTGGGAACGGTGTTAAATCGTGTCGCGACCGGAATTGAATCGGCGATTAGTTTTTTTCCGGGCGCGTCGATTATCTGCGATCGGTTTGCGCGGCCCCGGGGAACGCGCGCAGTTCACAGGGAAACCGAGCTTGCCCCTCGTTAATATTTCATTTTACCTGTCGCTTTTAATTGCGGCTGCGGCACGGGGTAATTCGGCGAGCTGCGGCCGAGCCGCAACCCGCTCGCGTTTTGCCCGCCGCGGCCCGCTAAGCCGCGTCCGTTCGTTATCGAAGAGTTGCGCCGAGCGAACGAACGAGCGCCGAGAATTTTAAATTGACCAACTTCCCGCGCCACGGATTGACAGCCGCCACCGCCACCGCCACCGCCGCCAGGCCGCCGACGCGATACAATTCGACAAGTTTTAATTAAAAGGCCCACGGAAATTCGAAACAATCGCGTGCGACGCGGTCTCGTTAGTCCGCTCCGCGAATTACACGAGCGAATTTAAGCTCGCCGAACGATCGCTCGTGCCAGATACACTGCGGCGATGCTGGATCCGATTTCCGATCGCTCGCGACGCACAGTGATCGATATTTTTCGAGGAAATGGGACAGGCATTATTCGCGAATAATATACGTATAATTGAATATACCTCGTAATCGGCCGTCAACGTATAGAAATCGCATTTACGGTTTTTTAACACGTTGAATGCCACGTCGGTTTTACAGAAATTGTCCGTGGCGCCACGATGAATTTTCTTTTATGCGAATCTTAATAAAATTAAGAAATATTTATGGATCGTCATAGAAATTCAATTTTAAATAATTTCGTCATCTGCATACGGGTGAAAGTGTCAGTCCCTCAAAGTGCTAATACTCTTTCCTTCTTAGATCATTTTAAAAAGTTTAAATTAATACGCCAACGTTCTCAATTGCATTTAATCTTTCTTCGATTTCCAGTTTCACCAGTTAAATAATTTTATTGAAAACATAAACGAAAAGAAACAAAAATATTATTTTCATTTAATGAAACCTTAATTTAATCAATTTCTTACGATATCGCTTCACTTCCTGAACCTTTTTCTTCCTTCAGAT